GTCTCCAGTGGCTCCATCCCTTCTAACTATGCCTTCTTCCTCCCATGCTATAGGCCAAACCAGTTTTCTTTATTCATTAACCAATAAAATCAACACATAGACAGGAGGATCTCCCACATCAGAGCCTCTCTCACAGTTCCTCAAGGTGTTGTTCACCGTGTGTCATTCTTTTGACTATTCCAACACTACCCAGTTATAATGCGTATGGACCACAACAATGACAAGAATGGCAAGATACCCCAAAAAGGGCAATAGTGGCACGTATATCTTTGGGGTAACCAACAGACACTGGGTTGGACTTATGGCCCACTCAATAGGAGGGAATTCATGCCAGTACTGCATGGATGCTGGGAATTTGCATCATGTCCTCATGCATGCACAAGAAGTTTTGGTTTTTCAAGATAAGGTTTCTCTGTAGCTTTGAAACCTGTCTAGGAACTAGCTCTTGTAGACCAGGTTGGCCTCAAACTCACAGTAACCTGCCTACCTCTGCCTCCCGAGTGCTGGGATTAAAGCTCTGTGCCACCACTGCCTGGCTCATAAGAAGCACTCTTACCCACTGAGCCATCTCTCTAACCCTTGTTCTAAGGGATTTTAGTGTAATTTGTATTGCAAATTTTAATTTTGAGTTCAAATTTATCACTTTCTATTTCTTTTCATATCTTAATGTTTTTAAATCATCCAACGTTCATAAAGATATTCTCTTGTTATAATTTTATATTTTATCTTTTGTTATTGGATATGAGTTTACTTTTTATAAATGCCATAGTAAGATATGTTTTTATTAATTTTATATTTTTTCATTGGCTAAACTTATTAACGAATAGATCGTTTTTTATTGATTGTTATTGAGCTCTACATTTATGTATAAATCTTAATTTATATAAAACCAATCTGTTTCTAGGGAGTATGCTTTACATGTCAAGAAAAAATAAAACATAGTTAAACCACAGTAGAAGTTTTAGTAGATATAAAGTACAACTCTAATGTTAAGATTTTATACATCTAGGATATTGGAGGGAATATCATACATTCTGAAGGGAAGTTTAACTAGAATGTGTAACATTTTGTTGGCATCTAAGGAGAAAGAATATTTTAAAATCAAAATTCTTTAGATAATTTATGATAGAATTTTAGTTAGAACTGGTGTGAAATAAGTACTTTTAGCTTCTATGTATGAAAATTCCAGGAGCATATGACCTTCAGGGATGACTGGGTCAAGGGTTATGAATGGACCAGGTAGACCAAAGACTTCCAAGACATTGCACTAGGTGGAGCCCAGTGGAATGGAATAGTACTTCCAACACCTTCAGTAGAATTGTAGAGAATATTCTGTGTAGTCCAGCAGTGAGCTCATGTGTATTCCTTCCTCACTTACTGGTTGTTGATCAGAAGGCAGGGGATGTAGTGAGCCAGGGTCCCCAGACGACTAGAAACGGAGATAATCTGACTCATTCCTACCTAAAGCACACACACCTTGGAGAGAGGAGTTCTGAAGTCAGATAAAAGGAGGTAGGGTTCTAGACACACACCTCAGTGTCCACCACATTTCTTTTCCCTAGAAGAGCTTGTCTTTTCTTGTACACATGAGGTACTGATTTGTCATAGTCCCATGGTGGGGCAGCATCTGTCATAGTCCAGCCTTGATGGGTCCATACATTCCAGAGTAGGGTGTGTGGATAGAAATGTTAGTCAGATTAAACATAGATATGAAAGAAATACAGAGATATAGTATAGTGCCTGGAGGGCAACCTAGTAAATACGGAATTCACCTGTGTTTATTTATTATAATCTTTAAATACCCCAATCCACAAGAGGGGAAGAAAGCAAAAGACTTTTTTTTTAAAATCATGATACAAGGAACAAACAGAGATTACCAATCTTAATACCCTAAACACCAAGTAACCACACTCTAGGTCAACATGTCCTGTTAGTAGCCACACCTTAAGTCAAATCTCCTGTCAGTAACCTTGAAGGAGCAAGAATAGGCTTAAACTCTCTGACTTTTAGTTAAGGTGCAAAGGATCCACTTCTCTGGGCCGTCTTAATACCCAAACACTAAGTAACCATACCCTAGGTCAATATCTTTGTTAGTAGCCATATCCTAAGTCAAATCTTCTGTCAATAACCTTGAAGGAGAAGGAATAGACTTAAAAACTCTGACCTTTAGTCAAAATGGGGTGGACCCACTTCTGTGGGCCCCCACATATTTCTCCCTTTTTAATTTATTTAATAAAGTCATGCTTTTTGCTACAGGACAGGCCGTGCCGGTCTTAGGTGGCCCTCTCTCACTTTCCAGACTTACCCATCACCAGCACATACATTCTGCCCTGTACATCCTGTCTTAGATTGCCTGGAGAGAAAAAAGATCTTACCCATCATTGACTACCAAACTCTGTAAATAAAGAGTTAATAGAGGATGCTTAGCTAGGCACTGTGTATCTCTGGGACAACTTTCCATCAAGAAAATTCACAGATAACTAGATAATCATATGCAAGCAGATACTGCTTTGTGATATACATGGGCCTAAGGCCACACCATCTTCTGATAAAGGAATAAAAGGTGACTGAGATGGGATGGCCTTTTTAAATTGGCCTAGGATGTTTTTAACAGTTTTTAGCTGCATCAGAATCCAAACTAGCCTTATTAAGTGTACCAAATCAATTGTTGGCATCATGTCATAGTTTTCTTCAATAAGCTCTAACCTTTTCTGTAACATCTTCATAATGAACTAGAGCAGTTACAAACATTAACAGGTCCAATACCATAATTCTAGTATGAAAATTAACAATAAGAACACAATTTTTCAAATCACAATTCTCTTAAATCTGTTCTAATAAAAAGACAAGGCTTCTGTGAGGGGTGAGCTATGAGTCTTTTTCCTCTCCTATAGTCCAATTGCATTGCTGCTTTTAACTTTCAAAGGTAAATTTGAACTGTCCCAGTCTCTGAGTAGCAGCAAAAACTTTTATGCCATTCCTTCTCATCTCTGAAGAGGGGCTTCAGTAACTCTTTGCCTCCATAATAGTGTTCTTTTGCTTTAACAAATCTCTTTCCCTCAGAAAAGAAATTTTCTGAGGTCTTAGTTCTTAGGTCCTTTATTTCAACAACAGATTGAAACCCATACTGGCAAAAATGAATTCTGTGTCCCAAGATATAGTATGGATAAACTGACAAACATTCAGTCAGCAGTCTTGGACTGTCTCCGAAGTAAACAGAACTCACTAGGGTCTGGAAGTTTGTACAGTAGGTCCACCAAAAAGCTGGAAGTCACCAACCATCACCACGGTCTTCCTCCCCTCCTTAGACCGCAGCATGATGACATAGGGGTCACAGGTTTAGCTGTCTCGTTCAGACTCTTCTGTGGGGGCACCAGAGTTACACTGTCATCAGGGCTGGCGTCCTTCTTCTGCACACACCAGACTAGATGCTCTAGAAGTTATTATGCTTCATTCTCCTTCTGTGAAATAACACAGACATGTTCTCGACCCGTGTTAAGACAGGGTCAGATCCTTTCCATAATCCAATGCAAGGGTCTTTCCACTTTGCTTTAGCAAAAGTCACCCTGGTGCCATTATGCAAAAATCTATCCATGGCAGATTGCTCACGGGTATCCACATTCAAGAAATTTAGAGTAAAAAGGACATGATTGATAAGGAATGTCTGTTTTTTAGTATAAGGAACATTGATCACACTAGGTTCCCTACCAAAATATCACCTAGATTCTATTCGGCTTTTTTGTAATTTTTGAAAATCAAAGTTTGTAAACTGTCTTTCTAATCCAAGCTCCAAATCTCACTAGCTGACAGGTAGTGATTTCCTCATTTGTATCGTCCCAGACGCTTGTCTGGGTGGGGCGGAGCTGTGCTGGGCGGAGCTGTGCTGGGCGGAGCTGTGCTGGGCGGAGCTGTGCTAGGCGGAGCTGTGCTGGGCTCTCTGCAGCCCTGCCATCCTGCCGGGGACCTGGGACCTGGGACCTGGAGGTACCAGTCCCTCATTGCCTGCTGTGTCTGGAGGGTTCACAGGCCACACTCAGTGGTCTCTCTGCAGACTGGGACCAGCTGGCATATTGTAGTTGTAGCTCAGGTTCAAAGGTGCCCACCATTGCAGTGACTTTGAGACCACTGCCTCCACAAGCTGGCCTGACTGGGAACTCAGGGAGGCAGAGCCTTGCTGCTTTCATTACTCCAGCTTTCCTATCTTGTAGAATTCCTGCATCCTCTCCTCTGCTAAAGGCTATTGATTAACTCAAACAGGCTCCTTGGGCTCATGGGCGATGTAGCCTCTGGTCATTCCCTGCTGGCTCCAGGAGCCAGCTGCAGCACTTGCGCCTGGGTGGACACCATTGTGGTAGCTGCTCAGACCTGGCCTGCTGGGAGGGGCCATGCTGTTTTCCCTGCCCTAAGCCCAGGAGCAGACCTAAAGTGGTGCCTGTTTCACCACCAGTGTGGGGGAGGGAGAGGGAAGTTTAAATTATTTACAAACTCTAAAAAAATCTCTGCTTCTCTTTTTGCTCCACCCCAGCTGCTCTGGCTATCAAAATACATTAGAGCAAATGTACAGATAGTTGAATACTATTTCCTTGACCCATATCGACAAATAATTGCAGTTTAAAATCCTTTATGATCTTTAAATACCCCAATCCACCAGAGGGGGAAGGAAGCAAAAGACTTGCTTCTAAAATCATGATACAAGGAACAAATGAAGGGATTTGTTGACCCTAGGTCAAGAGAAACTGTTAGTAGCCACACCTTAAGTCAAATCTCCTGTCGATAACCTTGAAGGAGCAAGAATAGGCTCAGAGTCTCTGACCTTTAGTCAAGGTGGAATGGATCCACTTCTGTGGGCTCCCACACGACTGGTGTATCACTCTGGGGCATTTTATAGTGAAAGTCAGTAGGTCACACTGGGCCTTATTTCCAGTCTTGATTCTTTAGTTGTGTGGTTTACTGTACTCTTCAAGGAACTGATAAATATCAGTTTGTTTGTTTTTTTAAAGCCTTTCGTGAAGTGGGAGGCTATCAGGCGCTGGTGAAAAAGTACCTCCACGCCATCCCAAGTAGGACACAGCAGGGAAACTGGACAGCCAAGCCACAGTGCTATATGCCTCGTCAGGACGCTTTCCATATCTTCCGAAGTTTTAGCTCTGGAGACATCCCCTGGCCTGGACTCATCTTAGGTGCCACGGTGGTCTCTTTGTTCTACGGGTGTGCTGATCAGGTAATTAATTGTAAGATCAATGAAGTGACTGTCCTTTAATGTCCCTGTAGACCCAGGCCACTGTGTCTCGCTCGTGGTTTGCCTCCTAATCTGTGTTTTTTGCCTCAATAACGTAAGAACTAACTTTTTCCCCCTGTGAATATAAATAGTAAAAATTATCCTTGTTTAAATGTTTATAATACTTTAGCCCTGCACTATTCTCTAGCTTTTGTGATTTGGAGACTGCCCAAATCGTGACCAGTCGCTGGTCCCAACTTCTTTCTTAGTTAGGGTTCCTATTGCTGTGAAGAGACACCATGGCCACAGCAACTCTTATTAAGGAAAATATTTAATTGAGGTGGCTTACAGTTAGAAGTTCAATCTGTTATCGTTATGGGGATGTGCAGGCAGACATGGTGCTGGAGAGGTAGCTGAGTCCTACGTGTTACAGGCAACAGGACATGGTCTGTGACACTGGGCAGCATCTTAAGTAGAGAAGACCTCACAGCCACCTCCGCGGTGATACACTACCTCCAACAAGGCTACATCTAATCCAACAAGGCCATCCCTTCTAATAGTGCCACTCCCTTTGAATTTATATAAAATTTCCATGTATTTTAAAGGTTAGGGGAACTTCTTTTTCATAGATTACTGATACCTTTTATGCCTTTAATTTTTTTTTGAGAATTTTATATATGGTGCTGTATTTATATCATTTCCATCCCTCCCTTTCTATCCTTCCCACTCCTCCTATGTCCGTTACCCCCTCTTAGTTTATGGCCTTTTCTTTACTTTTTAAATTTTTATTCTTTCTTTCTTTCTTTCTTCCTTTCTTCCTTTCTTCTCTTTCTCTTTCTCTTTCTCTTTCTCTTTCTCTTTCTCTTTCTCTTTCTCTTTCTCTTTCTCTTTCTCTTTCTCTCTCTCTCTCTCTCTCTTTGGTTTTTCAAGACAGGTTTTTCTGTGTAGTTTTGGAGCCTGCCCTGAATCTTGTTTTGTAGACGAGGCTGGCTTCAAACCCACAGAGATCCACCTGCCTCTGCTTCCCAAGTGCTGGGATTAAAGGCTTATGCCACTACCACCTGGATTTTTAAAAATTTTTAAAAATGATTTATTTATTTCATATATACGAGTGCTCTATCTGTGTGTACAACTGCATACCAGAAGAGGCATCCAATCTCACTACAGATGATTGTGAGCGACCATATGGTTGCTGGGAAGTGCAGCCTGTGCTCTTAACCTCTGAGCCATCTCTCCAGCCTCCAACCTTTTATTTATTATTGTTTTACACACGCACACACACACACATATACATACACGTGTGTAAATATAAATATAACCTGCTAATTCCAAAGTTGCTCACATGTGTGTATATTTTGGGTTGACCACTTGGGATTAGATAACCTATTAGGGGACCTGGGACTGAAGAAGAATAATTTGCTTTCTCCCAATAGCCATTGACTGCTTATAGCCTTTCATCTAGGGGTGGGACCTTGTGAAATCTCTCCCATCTACATGGCATGTACTCTGGGGATATTATTCTGCAGGTTAAGCTTAATTATATTATTGGAGTTTTTGTGGGTGTAGCTTTCTTGCCCTGCATAGGAGACACTATCTCAAAGCAGATGTGCTAATCCTTTGGTCTTTACAATATTTCTATCCTCTCTTCTCCAGTGTTCCCTGATCCTTGGATGCAGGAGGTGCATTGCAGATGTATCAGTTGGGATTGGGTACCTGTGGTGGTTTGAATAAGTACGGCCCTCATAGACTCATATATTTGAATGCTTAGTTACTAAGGGTGGCACTACTTGAGAAGGATCAGGAGGTGTGGCCTTATTGGAGGAAATGTGTCACTGTGGGTGGGCTTTGAGATCTCAAAAGTCGAAACCATGTCCATTATCTTTTTCTTCCTGCTGCCTTTGGATACAGATGTAGAACTCCCAGTTACTTTTCCAGCACCATGTGTGCCTGAATGCCACCCAGTTCCTCTCTATGATGGTAATGGAGTATGCCCATGAAACTGTAAGCCAGCCCCAGTTAAATGTTTTCTCTTATACGATTGTTATAGTTGTGGTGTCTCTTCACAGCAGCTGAAAAGAGACAGGATCTGTAGTGGTCTCTGTCTGCTGCAAAAAGGAGCTTCGTTGTCAAGGGGTGGGAAGTATCTGGGGTTATAAGAATGAGCAGCCCCTCCCAGGGATGAGCACTTTTATTGATCATCCAATGCAGAGTAGTCAACCTTGAAAGCATTATCTACCAACAATAAAAATAGACTCGGTGACCAAGCAGTGGTGGTGGTGGATGTCTTTAATCCCAGCACGTGGGAGGTAGAGACAGGCAGATCTCTGAGAATTCAAGGCCAGCCTGATCTACAGAGCAGATCCAGAACAGGCTTCAAAGCTAAGCAGAGAAACCCTGTCTTGAGAAAATAACAACAACAAAAAAAGAAAGAAAGAAAGAAAGAGAAAATATAAGATTGCTTATTAAAAGCACAGGAGTAGAACCCATAACTGCCTAAACTGTGAAGGAAATTGTTTGAGAAAAAAACCAAAATTATGGTACTCCTAGTACCATACTGGAAGTCAGGATTTTAGTGGTTACTAGGCAAATATTCCGAGTTATACCATACTGGAAGTCAGGATTTTAGTGGTTACTAGGCAAATATTCTGAGTTATACCATACTGGAAGTCAGGGTTTTAGTGGTTACTAGGCAAATATTCTGAGTTATACCATACTGGAAGTCAGGGTTTTAGTGGTCACTAGGCAGATATTCTGAGTTATACCCGAGCTTTAATTAATTCTGTTCTGTTTTGTTTTGTTTTGTTTTGTTTTGAGACAGGTTTTCTCTATGTATCCCTGACTGCCTGGAATTCATTCTTGTAGAACAGGTTGGCCTCGAACTCAGAGATCCACCTGCCTCTGTTTCCTCGGTGCTGGATTAAAGTGTGTGCATCACCACTGCCTAGCACTCTAATAAAATGTTTTCATTTTTTTAAAACTGAAAGACAGGTAGATCTCTGAGTTCAAGGTCAGCCTGGTCTACAGAGTGAGTTCCAGGGCAGCCAGGGCTCCACAGAAAAAATCCTGTCTTTATAAAACAAAACAAAACCAAACAAACAAAAATTGAATTGAAAAAAAAAAAGTAGCAGTTTGACTCACCAGCATTTTAAAGTGCCCTTTCTTTGGTTACAGTTGACAATACACTGATGTGCTTAGGACTCTGTGTGGATGGATTTAGCGTGGTCACCCTCAGTACAGGGGTCACATTTCTGCCCTGTGCTGTCATTCCACAGGAGACCAGATATTCTGTGCCCAGTTTTGTTTAGGATTCACCGCGATTCCTCGATCTGAAGATTCCTCCTACTCCAGCAGTGATAAGAGCTCTCAGTTCTTTTTCTTTGCACACTACCCTCTTCCTTTCTGTAAACTCCAGAACATGCACTACAGTTTCAGTTATGGCTTCCATGTCACGATCTCTTTTACACCATCTCAGTTTGGGTACTTTCCATGGGAAACCAGCTGTTCTGTGGTCAGGAATTGCAGCCCGTGTTCCCTCCATATGCTCAGCATTGGCGCCTCCCCTCCCAGAAGCCAGAAGCAGCTGCCTGTACATCTCTCGAGAGTCACATGTCATATGTCACATGGGGCACTATCACAATTCCATTCTTCCCCAATTATTAAACTAATGAACTTTGAAGATAAAGAAAGTGTAACGAAAACAACAAACGACAACAAAAATCCTACCTGCTAACCCCTTACTGCTAAATCACATTGTCACACTGATTCATGCTTGAGGATTTTTTTTTTAGACTTAGTATCACAGTATATACACTATTTTGGATCCTGTGCCTTTAAGCTACCATGGGTATATTTTCCCACTATTTAAATTTTTTTAAAGATTTATTTATTTATTATGTATATAGTGTTCTGAGCACCAGATCTCATTATAGATGGTTATGAGCCACCATGTGGTTGCTGGGAATTGAACTCAGAACCTCTGGAAGAGCAACCAGTGCTCTTAACCTCTGAGCCATCTCTCCAGCCTCCCTGAATATTCTTTAAAAGCATAACATTATTACATTATTTGGATGCTCCGATTGCTCTACCCTGCTCTCTTTCTTGCCCTTCTCTTCTAAGTGATTCTCCACCCTTTGGCCTGACATCATGATGCCTCTTGTGGCTCCAGAACATGAAATGGGTTCCAAAACAACAGGAGAGTCTAGGATTTTATGTTTTCTTGAATCAGTGTTTTACTCTGTAACCTTGGCTGGTCCAGGACTCTCTACATAGACCAGTTTGCCCTCAAACTCAGAGATCCATTTTCCTCTGCCTACTGAGTTCTGAGATTAAAAATATGTACCATTACACCCAACCAGAAAGTCTACATCTTAAAAGAATGTAAAAGTTTATTTTAATTTTGATAAATGAAGCAAGCTCATCCTTCACAAACACTTGGTTGTTTCTACGGCCTAACTTTCCTTCCGATCAGTTATAAGGGTCTATTCCTTCTGTGTGGTAGAAATTATATATATATATATATATATAATATATATACATATATATTATATATTTATATATAATTGAGGAAGTCTTGTCTGTGCCAGGGGATAGCTTGTAAGCCTTACATTGTCATGGCAGGTATGTAATGCTAGCAACGAGGCTAAAACCATGCATGATAATTCCATCCCATCTATTAACTGTGCACATCACAATATGTGCTCACTTTCCTGTGTCTCTCTAGCCATGGATGGCCCAAAGATGTATGGATGCAGAGTGGCCATCTTCGCAAACCCACCAGAGAACACATCCAGCTGTCACTTTAGACAGTGTCTTACCTGTGCCGAGGCAGCCTGGCCCTCATACAGTACTGACTCCACCCACTTGTCTTCCCTTGGCAGGTTTCTGTCCAGAGGTTCCTGGCAGGAAAGAGCAGGCTTCATATGCAAGGTGGCTGCCTCTTGTGTGGGTACCTGAAGCTGCTGCCCATGTTCTTCATGGTGATGCCAGGGATGATCAGCCGCATCTTGTTCCCTGGTAAATTCTTGATCCTGACATGCACTCCTAGAGATCTGGAGAATATCTGAAGTATTGGGTCCCCTATAATACACTAGTTATTGGAATTGCCTCAAGTGTCTGTTTAGAATGTATTTGAGGAGAAACTCTTGAGTTGTACAACAATACAGAAACCCCAAGGCCATAAGAAGGGGAAGACCAGATCAAAGCATTTCCCCTAAGACAGTCGTGCTCCTCTGTAGCACGGATTTTGGTTGGTCTTAATAATAAAAACCCAGAGTCAGATATAGGGGTTAGTGCAGACGATCAGAGAAGCAGAGAGGTCAGCTACTAGAGAGTTCTTTTACCTCCACCAGTGCTCAGACCAAAGGGCATAAATCTCCAATAGACTAGAAATCCAACATTTGCCTTGACACACGCAGCTCTTAATCTGCATCCCTTCCCCCAGGCACAAGTTTGAGTGCTCTAGAACCGCGATGCTGACGTGTGACCATTCCTTCTCGCTTCAGATCAAGTGGCCTGCGTCGTCCCTTCAGAGTGTCAGAAGTTCTGCGGCAGACGGAGCAGCTGTAGTGCCCTGGCTTATCCAGTGCTGGTGATAGGAGTGATGCCTGCTGGTAAGGGGTGGTCCTTTCCACCAAGAGCCACACGGCTCCCATTGGAGTGACAGGTAGGAGTGAGACTGGCTTCTTCCCAGCCCGCCCGTCATTCTGCACGCAGAGGCCATCTGTGTGTTGGGAGTGCTTGGCACCAGAGCAAGCTTTGTTCTCTCAGGTAGGAGCATAGGCCTTGCCCTCTCTCTCCCTCCCACGCTGGACGTGCGCATCGCCATGGAGGCACGACTTGCACACACTGAATGTGTTATTTCTGCCACCTGCTCGTTATCAGAAAGCCAGTTCTGTACAGGGTAAGGTGCCTTTGTAGGCCCTAGAGTCCAAACACCAGCAAGAACAGCGCTGTCCTCAAATTGCTTATCACACAGTGGGGTTAGTTAAAAAGCCAGGAAGTTACCCAGCAGTCAGGTAGTGTTCGTTGTTAGATGGGCAGTGAGCCTTTGCATTTACCTTGCCTTCTTTTCCAGATTCCAGTAAATGACCAATTAAATGCACACACACACACACACGCACACACACACATGTACACACACACATATATGTGTACACACACATATATACGTACACACATGTATATATGTGCACACACATATATATGCACACACATATATGTACACACATATGTACACACACATATATGTACACACACACACACATATATATGTATATATATAAAAGAAAACAGCACATCTGCTTTGGCTCTGGAGAGCAGCATTTCCATAAACTTCCATACAGACCGAGGCAAATATTGACTATGCTACCGTCTAGGAGGGGAGCTGTCTGACTCTGAGCTGAGTCTTGGGAAATGCCCTGGGCTAGAACACTGGGAGCAGTGATTGAAGGAGGGAAAATTCTAGATCCCAGTCTGTGTCTTCCAGCCCTGAGGGACCTATTAAAGTCAGTTGGGGTGCTGCCGTGGGGGACTTACAAGTGAGGTCCTGGTTATCTCCCGATATCTTTAGATATTGTGCTGTCTCCTGATAGCACAAAGGCATTTTCAAAGGGAGCCATCCCGCTCACCAGGCAGCCACCCAGGCAGTGGTACCAAGTTGTTAGGTTTCTACAGTGCTGGGCGAGTGCATCCTCTCTTTGGGCTGTGCGTGAACTCATCTGCTTACGTTGTCTGTACCTTACCAACCTCATGGTAAGTACCATATGCCCACTTCACTGATGAAGAGTCCAATTTCTTGTACAGCAAGGACTTCTCCAAGCTGGGGCACAAGCAATGGCATTCATCAGACAGGGCTGTAGTAAGGATGATACAGGCTGACTCAGACCACCACTCTGAGAGAGAGTGGCTCCCGCTGTTCTCTAAGCACTCAGCAGGAAATGACAGTCCCATCACAAGCCAAGGATAGATGTCGCACGATGTTGTAGATGGAATATCACACCGGGTAAAAGCTGCGTGCTTTATAGGTGTTTGAAAACGTTCCCTTAGGAGGTCAAGGCCTTCTCTGGCCTGGTCGGAGAGCTGGCCGTCCTGAAATTGTTTCTTTCTGTCTTCTAGGCCTACAGGGCTTTGTGCTGTCCACAGTGTGTGCCTCCATCATGTCCTCCCTGACCTCCGTCTTCAACAGCTCCAGCGCCCTCTTCACCCTCAACATTTACACCTGGATCCGGCCCCTGGCCACCGAGAAGGAGCTCATGATAGCCGGAAGGTGCAGTGTGCCCATCCCATTAGTCAGTGATGCCAAAGACCGCCTGAAAAATAGGCTGTAATGCTTGACATAAAATTATCCCTTTTTGATGGGGGGTTATTTTTATGCGGCTTTGCGATGATAATGTAATTTGATTATCACAAAGAGTACTGTTTTCACGTGTAAAAAGGGAAAATAATGCTCATAATGGTAATAAAAATGAGCAAAGTCTAATTACCTCTCCTAAATATTCCGTCAAGGGATATTTATATAAGCTGACCCATGATCTCACTTAATCCTCATGAAACTTATTCAAGGCAACTTTCACTTTTCTTTTTTTTATTGAAAAAAGTTTTTCATTGAATATATTCTGATCACACTCTCCTCCTCCAACTCCTCCCAGATCCTCCTCGTCTCCTTACCACCCTTTCTTTCTCTCTTCAAAAAACATGCAAAGAAACCCAACCCAATCAAACCAAAACCAAAAAAAAAAAAAACCCAAAAAAACAAGAAACCCAAACATACAAAAAACAAATTGACAAATCAAAGAGACACATAAAGGAAACATACATATACAGGCTAAAGAAAAATAAGACCAAAAAAAAAATGCCCAAGCAAAGCAAAATGAGACCAGAAGTCTAAAAAGCACAGCTGAGTTCCTTTTGTGTTGATCGTCTGCTGCTGGGCCTGGGCTGACTCTAAATATAGTGAATAGACCCAGTGAGACTCCATTGGAGAAAACCGGTGTTCCTTCGTAAGCAGATGTCAGATGCAGACAGCTTCTCAGAAACTGGAACCCCATCTGGATTGAAACCAGTGTCTACCTCGGCCTCTCCGTGCTGGAACCCCATCTGGTTTGAGCCGTGTAGATCCTGTGTGTATTGCTACAGTCTCTGTGAACTTGTATGTTCATCCGTGCTGTTGTGTCTGGAGGACACTGTTTCCTTGGAGGCCATCTTCTCTGGCTCTTACACTCTCTCTGCCTGCTCTTCCACATACATCCCTGAGCCCTGGGGGAGGGGCTTGATGAAGGTATCCCATTCAAGACTGAGTGCTGCATTGTTCAGCTGAGGGTCTTGGTGAGTTAAAGTTCGTTTCTCACCTTCAGTTCTATCAGATTCAGGTGTCTGGTCTCACATTTAGGTCCTTGATGCTTTTGGAGTTGAGCTTTGGGCAGGGTGATAAATATGGATCTCTTTGTATCTTCTGCATCTAGCATCTAGTTTGACGAGAACCATTTATTGGAGATGTTGCCTTTCCTACATCATGTATTTTTGGTTTTGTCAAAAATCAGGTGTATTTGCACGTGTGTGTGAATAGTGTGTGTACGTGTTTGCTCACATGTGTGTGAGGTTAGAGTCCTCGGTCTCTCTTACCGTGCATACTGAAGCATGAACTAACAGGGAATGCAGAGCTCACCCCTTTGGCTAGTCTGGCTAGTCAGTTTGATCCAGGAATTTCCCACATCCTCCTCCTCCACACTGAGATTACAGGTGTGTTGCTAAGCCCATGTAGTTTTTTATGTGGGTTCTGGAATCTAGACCCCAGTCTTCACATTCGTGTGGTATGTTCAGCCCAAGATTTCAGTTTTATGTTGCTAGATAAGATATGAGAAAATGAGAGGAGGCTATGCAAAGCTCAAGTGTTCTAAGATTCTAGCTAGAGATATTAGTAAAATTTGGGCCAGAGTATATCAATAATGCATTTAGTCCTAAACTAAGCAATAAGAGAATAGTTCAAGAATGTATAGACGAGAGAAAGAAAGAAAGAAAGAAAGAAAGAAAGAAAGAAAGAAAGAAAGAAAGAGAAAAAAAGAAAAAGAAGCTGGGTAGTGATGGTGCACTTGGGAGGCAGAGGCTGGTGAATCTCTAAGTTCGAGGCCAGCCTGATCTGCAGAGCGAGTTCCAGGACAGGCTCCAAAAGCTACAAAGAGAAACCCTGTCTCGAAAAACAAAACCAGAAAACCCAAAAAACAAAAGAAGGTTTAGCAAGTTAATAGAAGAAAAATAGAGACCAATACAATATTTGAGAAGTTCAAATTAAACCAAAAAAGATGGGAAGAAGACAACAGGTGGTTAACTTAAAAAATTAGTGGGGTGACACGTAGAAGACCAGATTTATAAAAGGTATTTTATGAATTGTACAGAGACTAAGCACTTGAGTTAAATGGTTAAGATTTTATGATTATATTTATTTATTTAAGTCAATTGCATGTTCCTTGAGGTGATTTCCTTTTCAATATAAGACAAGATGGCTTGGTAATTTAAAACCTCCCATCACTTACCTGGAGCAACAGTGCAATGATATTTTAAAAAGACCCCTATTGGGTTGGTGAATTAGTAGCCTTTCATGAGCCAGACCCTCAGGAAACTGAGAGCAAGTTTCACAACATTAAATGTTGCAACTTGGCCTGCCGGATTCCTTTAGACTGTGGGGGAAGACATGTTGGATAGTGTAACATGAGGGCCGGCTTGTTGGTGTTTCTGTTCCGCCCAGTACCCCACAGCCGGAAAGCCCAAAGAAAATCAATCACACAGAGATCTCTTTAAGTTATAAAGCTGATTGGTCCATTAGGTCAGGCTACTTATTACCTCTTATAACTTATCTTAACCCATTATTCTGATCTATTTTAGCCATATGGCTTGGTACCTTTTTCAGCTGGGCAAGTTACATGCTGCCTCTTCAGTGGTCTGTGCAGGAGTGGCTGAGGAAGCTTCTGCTTCCCAAATACTCTCAGTCTCTTTGCTCCACCCCTACTTCCTGTCTGGCTTTCCCGCCTATACTGCCTGCCTGGCCAATCAGCGTTTTATTAAAATGTGATTGACAGAAATACAGACAATTCTTCCACACCATTTCCCTCTTTTTTTTTAAACAAAGGAAAATACCCATAGTCCATTTGTTGGGAATGTGGGCATAGTATTTCAGGCTACTTCCTGCTGGGTCGGGGCGCTGATGATCTTATGGGGACCTAAAGAAAATTTAGGGTTATAATCAAGTCCTGACTGGAGTATCCTGTGAGTCTTGATCATCTCAGGCAGCATTTTGAACCTGTTCTGGATGTAGAACTCAGACATCTGGGCCATCTATTCCTGTCAGAGATTTTTCAGGTGGCCTCCCTTGGTCAAAGATGATTTTTCTTAACTCTGAATAAATCCACAGCCTCTCATTTTCTGTGGAAACAAAAGCAAAATCTCTTCTCCAAAGTAACATACCTTTTGACTTCAATTTTGAAGCCAAGATATTTTCAAAATGCCTATCTTGGATTAATTCTGTAGCATTTATAAGCAAATACTTTTTAGCAGCTATTGCTCCTTCCTCAGCATTTAAACAATTCAAAGAGAGCATACTAACATACAGTATCAAGATTCTCTGTGTATTTTCCATCTTTATTTTAACCTCTATTTCTTTTATTTTTACTTTTACTTTTTGAGACTGGTTCTCTGTATATCTTTGTCCTGGAATAACTCTGTAGACCAGGCTGTCCTTGAACTCAGAGATCCCACTGTCTCAGCCTCCTCAGCACTGGGATTAAAGGTGTGTGATACCACACCTTGAACTCACAGAGATCTGTCTCTGCCTCCCAGGCATTGGGATTAAAGGTGTGTACCACCACACCCTTTAGCCTGTATATATTTTTAACACACTGTAAACCATTTAGAGGTTTTCTTCATCTTTGAATCTCTCTTTACTGTATATCTCTCCTTTTCTGACCACATGAGTCTAAAACCGTGGCTTTGATGGCTGAATCTAGGCCATTCCTTAGCTTTCCAGGCTCATGGCAGAGATACCAGCCAGAGCTGTGTTCACTGCCGCAACTCTATGGCGTTTCAAGGTCCTTGCTAGCAAGCAAGCTGCAGCATTCTGCTCACAGACCACACTCAGTCGGACTGCCTGCCTGAAAGAGTCAGAGATTGCCCTGGCAGGACAGCCCAGAAAACCAGCATTTTAAAACAGCGCAGCTTTTTTCCTGCTATGGCTGAAAACCGAAAAGCATGCGTTCAGCTTTTCACCAACACCGTTCAAGTATTTCATGGCAGGACCTCTTAAAAGAGCTACAAAGTTTTGCAGCTAAAGCTGAGTCAGGGAGCCTCTCTTAGATGAGAGCATTTGCTTGCCTCTATCAAACAGAGTAGACCCGAGAAATTGCTGCTACCAAGAAAACATGCTTTATTCTTTCCCAAGCTTTCTCAAGCTTTCTGTGGATTCAGTTATCCACGTTGGGCGCCATATGTAGTAAGAGGGGGCCGACTTGTTGGGGTTTCCATCCCACCCGGTACCCCACAACCGGCATACCCCAAGGAAAATTAATCACACAGAGAACTCTATAAGTTATCTAGCTGATTGGTCCATTAGGTCAGGCTACTTATTAGCTCTTATAACTTATCTTAACCCATTATTCTGATCTATTTTAGCCATATGGCTTGGTACCTTTTTCAGCTGGGCAAGTTACATGCTGCCTCTTCAGTGGTCTGCGCAGGAGTGGCTGAGAAAGCTTCTGCTTCCCAAATACTCTCAGTCTCTTTGCTCCACCCCTACTTCCTGTCTGGCTTTCCCGCCTATACTGCCTGCCTGGCCAATCAGCGTTTTATTAAAATATGATTGACAGAATACAGACAATTCTCCCACACCAGGATAGGAACCTTGAAGTATTCTCTTCAGAGAGGTGAAGAGCAGATCCAGACCAGAGTATGGAGGGGAACGGAGACTCAGGTTCCAAGGAGCACACCTGCTCAGTTGTGACCGACCAGTCTATGACCTGACTGGCATCTGGGGTGACAGGCATTTCTGAGAGCTTAGGAAGGAATGCTAAGAGATGTGAGACTGGAACCAGCAAGCAGGATTCTACTCTCAGCGGAATACTGAGAATTTAGTCTGGTGCCCCAGTGGTGGTTTTCAAGAGGAAAGAGACACCTCAACTGTGTGGTGATCTAGTCCCTCATAAACACCCTCATGAACACTGTAAACACTTCTATGAAAAGAACACCTGTGACTGAACTTTGTGGCTCAGCTCCAAATGCACAAGGATGAACATAAAAACATAAGAAACATGAAAAAGCAAGGTAATTCGATTCCTCTAAAGAGTCACTAGGCCTCTGGTGAGCACGGATCAGATGAAATTCCAAACTAAGAATTCAGAAGAATGATTATAATTATGTTCAAAGAACTCAAAGAAGACACAAATTCTTAAATGAATTTCAGGAAAACACAAATAACTGAATGAAATATGGAAGTCAGTCCTCCCCACGTTATACTGCAGTTAAAACACTAAATATATAGAACCACCATCCCAGGGATGGCATCACCCACCATGGGCTGTGCCCTTCCCCATTGATCATTAATTCAGAAAATGCCTTACAGTTGGATCTCATGGAGGCATTTCCTCCACTGAGGCTCCTTCCCCTCTGGTGACTCTAGTTTTCGTCAAGTTGACAAACAAAACTAGTCAGTACAATGTGTTTTATAGATTGACTACCTATGACATCTTAAGGGTCTTGGGGGAGGATCTGGTGTAGTCTTGGTTATACAGACATTGCAAAGGTCACCAGGTTATTGACCACCTCTGTTCTTATTTGTAAAATATATGTGATATCTCCCGTAGAGATGCATTCTATTGACTGAGAAACAGTGCTCAAGATAAGGGTCTAGGGAGGATGACTGAGATAAATAAGAGTCTGGGGATTCCAGATGTGGCTATAGACCTCTTCCTTTGAAGAGACAACCCTGAGTGTTTAATATTTTTGGTTTTTCTAGCGCATACCTGTGAATACACGGATCTAGTGCCCTCTGCAGATTGAGTTAAAAAATCTCTACAAGGGGGCTGGAGAGATGGCTCAGAGGATAAGAGCACTGACTACTCTTCCAGAGGTCCTGAGTTCAATTCCCAGTAACCACATGGTGGCTCACAGCCATCTGTAAGGAGATCTGGTGCCCCTTCTGGCCTGCAAGCATAAACACAGACAGAATATTGTATACATAATAAATAAATAAATCTTTAAAAAAAAATCTCAACAAGACCCATCTCTTTATTGCCCAAAAAATGTATTGTACCACCAAAATACATACTATGTTATGTGAAAGACTCGAGAAAGGCATTGCAAGCAATTGGAACTAGGAATTAAGCAGGTATTATTCAAACAAAATAGATTTGACACTGACATTAATCCAAGAGGATGAAGAGGGTCATTTCATAATGATCAAGAGATGAATCCTGGTGAGCTCAGCTTCATAAACAAACACCCCTAGATATAAAGAAGCAGGTTAGTCCCAACTTAATGGTGTGGGTGACCTCAATAGTCCAGTCTGCCCACAGACAGTTCAATCCAACAAATAATAAACTGAGAGACATCTGATTTAAATGACATCATTTATCAAATAGATCTACTAGACATTTGTAGTACCTTTCTTCCAAACACTGAAGAATAGAGATTCTTAGCCGGCCATGAAACTTTTGGGGTTGTATTTTGTTTGTGAGCTAACAAATAAAGCTTGTCCAAAGTTCAGAGTGTGGAGCTAAGCTACTAGTTAGCCATAGAGGGCAGGCTGTGGTGGCACACACCTTTGATCCCAGCACTCAGAAGGCAGAGACAGAAGAATCTTTGTGAAGTCAAGGACACCCTGGGTTACTTGAGATTGATCCAGTGTAAAAAAAGAGAAACAGAACCGGGTAGTGATGGTTCACACCTTTAATCCAAATATTTGGGAGCCCCATGCCTTTAATCCCAGTACTAGGAAGGTGGAGAGAGGAAGGGTTATGGCTGGGCAGAGAGCAGAATATAAGGTGAGACCAGAGCTCAGTGCACTCTGAAGATTCCTAGAGACAGGATCACCCATTTGGTCTGAGGATTTGGTAGAGGTAAGAGGTAGTGATTGGCTACTCTGTTTCTCTGATCTTCCAACATTTATCCCTACATCTGACTCTGGGTTTTTATTATTAAGACCAATTAGAATTCACACTACAACTTTCCTTAAAATAGACCATAATTGCAACAACAGTAGTAATAATTATATACATAAGCAACTAAGGAAAAGCTACTGGTTAGGATTTGCAGGTATTTTTGCTGGATAAAAAAATATCTTCAACTCATCACTGGGTGTTGGTTTAATTCACAGGTTTTTTGTTATCATCTTGCTTGCTGTCACCATTGTCTGGATCCCCACTATAGAAATGGTATCCAGTGAGGCACTGTTTGAGTACATGCAGGTTCTCAAGAGCTGCCTGACACCAGCTGTGGCTGCCGTCTTTCTGCTGGCTGTATTTTGCAACAGAGTCAACGAGCAGGTGGGTACTCACGTGGACCGGTGTGAGGGGCGAGGGGTCGAGGGGCCGTCTTCTAAGATAAGAGCTGCCTTAGGGAGGTCTCTTAGGTATCAAGAGTTCACATGAGGACGTCATTTGGTTAAAGGGAAGGTTTTTTATAGCTATGAGAGCAGAGGTATCTAGAACAGTCCAGAACAGAGAGAGAAAGAAGTAGATTGAACGTCGCAGGCCTATGAGAGAGAGAGCGAGAGAGAGAGAGAGAGAGAGAGAGAGCGAGAGAGAGAGAGAGAGAGAGAGAGAGAGAGAGAGAGAGAGAGTTGCAAGAATAGCAGGGTTATAAAGAGAATGAGTAGCTAGGGGAAGGAAGCCCACAGGAGCTGGAGGGAGTTTAGGGTGGGGGAGGAGGTGAGAAGGGCTAAGATGCTAACACACTCTGAGATGTGTGACAGATCCTTGTGAGACTGAGGGAGTCTGGAGGTCAGCATGAGCTTCCATATGCTGATAGGCACCTCAGGTCGCCATATGTCCTCCCTTTTGGGAGAGGGGAATTGGCTTCACAAGCTCCTGAGTGAATGAAAAAGAGAAATAGAAAGGGAAGGCCATGGCTGCTCCCGGGTGTGGTGGAGGAGGAAGTTCATTGTATAAAAGGAGAGCATGAAAGGAATGAGGCAGCTGGGAGGGTCCAGAGTGGGCATGACCAGATCGAGCTGGGCTACGTGGGGGGGGGGGGGGGGGGGGGGGGGGGGGGGGGGGGGGGGAAACAAAAAAACAGGGGGGGACCAAAGGGCTGGATTTTACAGGGAAGGGCAGCCCAGCCCCCTGAGCTGGAGAGTTCAGGGTAGGGGGCGGGGTACGCTAGTCATACCCTGTAACTGGTAGGAACTGAGGGATGCTGGGAGAGCCTGGCAGTCCGGTCTGATTTGATCTGTTAAATAGGCACCTCAGCCATTGTCCTGGGTTTGAGACTTAACACTGAGGAATGCTGTCTTTTATCTAACTGCCAGAAATCATTTCTGGATATTTAGACTGCCTTTTGGGGCTTGGGGAACTGGAATTTCCTTTGGTCCTGACACTTTGAAGGCCTAATTAGCCCGAGTTCTCATGTCTTTTATTGTCTTTAAAATGTTTTGAATCATGTCTTAACCTTTCTTGTGACCCTGGACAGAAGTGAGCAGCACAGCCTTGTACAAGTTCCCACGCACACACCCAAGTCCATTTGTGACCCCGTCCTTCCCGTGCACAGCCCACAGGTCCAGGCTGCTCCAAACTGGCGACTGATGAAATATCTTCTGCCCCCTGACCCTTCCTTCATGGACTGCTTGCTTTGCCTGGAATGTATTCTGGCAGCTCCATCTGGCTGAGGCTTTCTCCAAGGCTCCTCCTAGGAGTCGGGTCCCTTAGGCCCACCCCCCACCCCACCCCAGTCAGTCTACCCAGGTCACAAAGACTTAACTTAGTAGCAACAGTGTCAGAGGAGTAACTTGATCCCCAGAGTTGCTTCCCTTTGCTCTCCTTGGAAGGGGAAGCAGTTATGGAAGTCGGCCTCTTTCTGATGACAAGGGTCTGGGGATATGGGGACATCCCTGGAGCTCTCCTGCTGTCCCTGGCTCAAGGATACGAGTGTATCGTATATACTTTCCAATACCTCTGTTAACCTCAAGCACTTTTCCGGCCCCCCTCTCCTACCCAGCTTTGGATGGTGTAGGCACCTGCTTTCTGCAGTCTCCTTCAGGAAGTGACTGCTGTGGGCTGCCTGGCCCGAGGCTGAGTCTTTTCTCTATGATGCTTCCCTACACTCAGATCCTGTCTTACACCACCCCAGCTTGAGAGAGTCTCTAGATACAACTCTCCAGCTCATATCTAGTCCATTTATAAAGTAGACAGTCTGACGGGGGTTGGGGGGAGAGGACACCAGATGAGCAGATAAATCTTTGTGGTAGAAACACAGAATATTTAAAAGAATGTGAGGTAGGGTAGGGTGGGGCGAGGTGAGAGAGATAGCTTCACTGGTTAAGAGCATTTGTATGGTTCCATGTCCGTCGTAGGTGTCAACGGAAGAGAGAGAAGCTCACCAAGATGCTCAACGGTCACTTTCTGAAGGAGCAGAGGGGTTCAACCTTCTTAGAAAAGACTGACACCCAGCTAGCTCACTCCAGTTACTTTATTCAAACATATACAAGATTAATGGGGTAGGGAAAGGTTCCAACTAACAAAGTCATCTCATTCTTGCTGCCCTTGAGAATGGACAACCCACACAAATCTCAGTTCATTTTGATTACGGCCCTAAGCAAAAGTAAGAATTCCTTGTTTGCCAGGAGTGTCTTTGGATCAAGGTCAGTCCAGCTGCAAACTCCAGTTCTCACAAGAGCCAAGTGCAGACTCCAGAAAAACAACATCTCTTCAAGGTCTAAACAGTCTCAAAACAATCTCCCAACCTCTACTGATCAACCCAAACATAGCAAGGGCTTTGCTGAAACATTTCTCTCAAAGCCAGTTGCAAAGGCCATACTATATACTTCCCTTAAAGCCAGACATTAAGGCTTTACTTTACACTGCACACTTGCTAATTTTATGTCAACTTGACAGGAGCAGTCATCAGGGAGAGGGAGCCTCAATTAAGAAAATGCCTCCCTAAGATCAGGATATACACAAGCTTGTAGGGCATTTTTTAAATTAGTGATAGATGGGAGAAGGCCCAGCCCATTGTGAGTGGTGCCATCCCAAGGCTGGTGGTCCTGGGTTCTCTAAGAAAGCAGGCTGAGCAAGCCAGGGGAAGCTAGCCAGTAGCAGCTCCCCTCCATGGTCTCTGTATCAGTTCCTGCCTCCAGGTTCCTGCCCTGCTTGAGTTCCTGTCCTGACTTTCTTCAATGATGGATTACAATGTAGAAGTGTAAGCCAAACAAACCCTTTCCTCAACTTGCTTTTGGTCATGGTGTTTCATCATAGCAACAGTAACTATGAGTAAGACAGGCACATACACATAATTAAATGTAATAAAAATAAATATTTACAAAATGAGGGTTGGAGAGGTGGCTTAGCAGTTAAAAGCTCTGGCTGCTTTTCCGGAGGTCCTGAATTTAATTCCCAGCAATCACATGGTGGCTCAAAGCCATCTAAAATGGGATCTGACACCCCCTTCTGGCATGCATGTATATATGCATAAAATACATAAGTAAATAATCTGAAATATTTTTAAAAGAATATAAAAAAGTCAAGGACGTTGTAAGGTGGACAGTGAGTGTGAGACAGACAAGGACACAGCTCAGCAGGAAATCAAGGCCAGAAATAGCAATGTGTGGGGAGAATTCTCAGCAGAGAGAGAAAGGGCAAGTACCAGAACTCAAGTCAGAAGCAAAGTACGCAGCTTGCAGATACAGAAGCAGGCTGAGAAGGAAGGAGCCTAGTGACCAAGTTGGGTGCTAGGTGAGGTCAGCCATGATGCAGGGGTGAGGCTTGATCCTGATGGCAGGAGCTGAGTGACCAAGTGGAGGGTAGTGGTGCTAGGTAAGGTCAGCCATGATACAGGGGTGAGGCTTGATCCTGATGGCAGGGGCTGAGATGTCACTGGAGGGTCCCGGTAGAGGCTTGGCGTTCTCTAGTAGAAGAACCTGCAGAGCCCGTAGACAGTTAGGAACAAGTGCCCCCCCCCCGTGCCCCAAATAAAGGAAGATGGGGGTGAGGGTCATGGTAAGGGACTGGATTCTGGACAGATTTTGGAAGCAGAGGCCAACAGGATTGGCTGTGGGATAATGGCAAAACAACATGGAAAGGGAAGAGCTCGAGGCGGCTCCGGGGTTTGACTCGAGCGAGACTCAAGCATCTTGGAGCTGGGCTGTCACTTAGGGAAACAGGGAAATTGAAGCTTTTTTTTTTTTTTTTTTTTTTTTGGACACAGTTTGAGATGTCTACTTGTGGTCTCAGTTAAAAGTATTTCCAAAGTTTCCTAAGCTCCCTGTTTGACTAAGAGACAGTGCCAGGCATCCCTGCCCTTGCTAAGACCCTCTGCTGTACGGTATCAGTGCCCTCTTTTCAACAATGTAACCCTAGAATGCAGCTCGTCAGCAAGAGGAGGAAGGCGCCACTTTGTCTTATCTCCTTCTGCCCCTGTAACTCTTGTCTGGATTCTTTGCAGGGTGCCTTCTGGGGGCTGGTTTTGGGAACGGCCATCGGAGCCTTTCGACTGCTGGCTGAGTTTTTCTACGGACCCTCGACCTGTGAGGGAGGCCGCGTGTGCCCCACTCTCATCTGTGGCCTCCATTACCTCTATTTCGGCTTCTTCCTCTTCCTGGTTACTCTCCTTATCACACTGGCCATCTCCTTAGCCACCAAACCAATTTCGGATGTGCACGTAAGTGTCGCTGTTAGGATGCTCTGGGAAGAGTTCCGGGGATGAATGGTAAATCACAAATGAGGGAGGAATGCCTGGATTCATGGAAACGGGAGGACGGTGGGTGGAATAGATCAGAAATAGGCAAAATACCACAAAAAGGATCCTGCCTTAAAACCGGGTCGAGTGCTTGCTTGACGTCCCCAGCACCACCAACATAATAAGCAACGATTCATCAGTTATACAACCTCTTAGTTTGAGAGTTAGGCTTACAAACCATTTCCTACTCCCCCAGCAGGCAAGTGTCAGCCATCTGTTTTATCTATTTGTTAGAAAGCTTGGGATCAGAGAAGTTAAATAACTTGCCTAACGTAATGAAACTATTGAGTGTCCTTATTAGGTTCCAAAGCCGGAATGGGCTCCACTTTGTCATCTACGTTGTTTGACACCCGAGCACAACAAGGAATTGGTGTTGGCCGGAGTGGGGGTCCCAGGCAATCAGGAGGGAGCAGCACAGATTGGAATGGGGATGCCTTGCTTGCAGCTTTACTTAGTCTGGACAGAAGGGTGAACGCTATTATCAAAAGTCGAGTTAGAGATGTTGGAGGTGGAGGTATTACAAGTTAGGTCAGCTGGTGGGTAGCAAATTCCAAGGCAGGTTACTTAGCAAAAATCTATTTAAAAATAAAACAAAACAAACCCCAAAACAAAACAAAAAACCCAAGCTGAGCCTCTCTGAAAGCCTGGAAGCCTCAGGTATCCCCAGTCTCTCCCACTACTCCATTATAGACATTCTCTCTTCTTCCACATGCAGCCCACTCGGGAGAGGGACAACCCGTGTGGGAAGGCCAGGATGCTCGCATCCCTGCATCATCAGTGAACCAACAAGGTGCCTCAGGTGGCCATTTGCTATCCCCAAGCTCTTCCTCCTTCATCTTGTTCCTTCTTTTCTGTCCTCTTTTCCCAACTCATGTCCCTTCCTCAGTCTGTCAGCTTAGTATGTTCTGAGTGTCTCTCCTGTCTGCCCCACAGGCTTGGTGAAGTCTGTTGAACTCTGTAGTGGGAGTGGGGGGACCTGAGAGGGTCGGTGATGAAGGACCTCTGATCACATAACCTGGAGAGATGGCACTCTGCCTTCAACTCAGACAAGCTCAGGAGCCCAGAGATACGGCACAGGATTGAGCATGAGCCCCTCCCCACACCCAGAGCCTCATTCACTAGAGGTTGCAGTGTTGCTGGGGAGGTAAAATGTGCACATAGAGTGTTATCAGGTCACTGTGCCAAATTTTACGTGGGCTTTGTGCATGCTAACCAGGTGGTCTTAACAATGACCTCCAGCTCACCAAAAATATTCTTCGAAGAAATGGTTAGGAAAGGAAAGGGAGTGCTCCTTGGGCGTGTGAAGATATTATATTGAACTTGAGCCAGGCAGAGGAATCCAGCTATCCTAGCTTGTGTTACTGCCCTCTGCCCTCTAAGGGAGAGTATCCAAAGGAGGGCTTCTGAGATGACAGCAGCTCCGATCTTTCATGACGCCCTGTTCAGCGCGATGTCAGCACTCTTCCACACTGCTGGAAGAGGTGGACCAGAGGCGGTGGGTAGAGGTTAGAGAGATGGCTCAGTGGTTAATAGCACTTGTCTCAGGGCTGGAGAGATGGCTCAGAGGTTAAGAGCACTGACTGCTCTTCCAGAGGTCCTGAATTCAATTCAGCAACCACATGGTGGCTCATAACCATCTATAATGAGATCTGATGCCCTCTTCTGGCATGCAAGCATACATGGAAGGAATGTTGTATACATAATAAATAAATAAATCTTAAAAAAAAGCACTTGTCTCCTCTTCCAGAGGACCTAGGTTCAACCCCCACCACCTACATGGCAACTGTCTATAACTCCAGTTCCAGGGGATCTGACACCCTCACACGTACATACATGCTGGCAAAACATCAATGCACATAAAACAAACAGACATACAGACATCAAATAAAAATTAATCAATGTCGGATGGTGGTGGCACGTGCATATCTTTAATCCCAACACTTGGGAGGCAAAGGCAGGTGGATCTCTGTAAGTTCAAGGCCAGTCTGGTCTACAGAGCAAGTTCCAGGACAGCTAAAGCTACACAGAGAAACCCTGTCTCGAAACAAAAAAGTGGTGGGTTGCTTTTTTTATCCTCCAGGTGTGAGAAATGCATGTTCCTGGCCCTCCTCCCAACAGGGAGAGCCCTGAACTCATTGTCTCCAACTTTGGATTAGGCTGAAGAACACTGACAGGTTGTGCTACAGCGCTAACTAAGATCATGCAATCACATACGACCTGAACCAAAGCGTAAACCCAGCTTTCCCTACTCCCGTCATGTCCCCTCTGACCTAACATCCACCTTCTGTTAATGTCTAACCAGCATCTCCCTCTTCAGCCTCCTGGGATATGGCTCCTGCCTGTAGATTTTGGTGATACACAACTGCAGGCCAAGGTCCCATGGTGACACCCTCCCGTCCTGCTCTCTCCACATTCAGCTCCGTGGTCTCTGCTGGAGTTTACGCAACAGCCGACAGAGGAGGGTGTCTTTAGAAAAAGAGATGAGATGGAAGATGTTTCCCAGTTCCACATTCCAGCAAGGTAGGGAAGACCATCCACAGCTGTGGGAAGCTGTCCTGAGTGGATCCTGAAGCTGGATCAACTCCCCCAGCACCCCCTAACCCACCAAGACCACCCACAGCTGTGGGGAGCTGTCCTGAGTGGATCCTGAAGCCGGGTCAGCTCCCCCAGCACCCCCTAACCCACCAAGATCACCCACAGCTGTGGGAAGCTGTCCTAGGTGGGTCCTGAAGCTGGATTATTTGCCCCAAGCACTCCCTAGCCCAACATTCTTAGCCTTAGAAACATTCTTTCAGACAGAAGCACTCGCTTTCTTCCCCCCTAAAATGCTTCCTGGGCTTATTCACTCAAGGAGTTTGTGAAGCCAGGTAGATTCTAGAGGGGAGGGAAAAGAAGAAAGGAATTAGGCCAAAGTAAGGGGAAAGCCAGGTGATGAGGAGGCCCAGGCAAGGGGGAAGGAACTCAAGAATGCCTGGCCTTCTGGAAACATTTCACAGCAAAGGGAGGTGAGTGAAGGTGAAGTCTCGGGAACCAGCCCTTGGGTTCTGCTCCACAGACAGAGCACACGGGCACGCGGGGCTCAAGGGGAAGCAGAGTGTGAAAAAGAGGGCAATAGTACAGGATTCCAAACCAGAGGCTCCTGAGAAGGGCAAGGAGGGAGGGAGGGAGGGAGAGAGCACTTTCCCCTCCTGGATGGAGAGAGAGAGAGAGAGAGAGAGAGAGAGAGAGAGAGAGAGAGAGACTACAGGGGAAGTTAAGGCCTGAGAGTGAGATTTTCATCAAATAGCATCAGAAAAAGGGCCTACAGGTCCACAGGACCCAGGAGCGAGTCTGATGATTTGAGCTTCTCAAAGCCGCCTCCACAGATAGGGATGAAGATGTGATGAGGTTAGGCTTGAGTCTGGGGCAGAGAGTAGCTCCAGGCTATGAGGTTGTGGAAGTAAAGAAAGTAGAGAGTAGGTCAGGCTGGGAGGAGGTGGAGCTCCCGGTCCCCTGCTCATTCCTGCTGGGGAGGTTCAGAGGCCTGAGAGGCCTAGTGTGTCCTTCACTGCAAGACGCGTACCCTGGTAGGGCTGGCCTGCGGACTTCTGTGGGATGGCAGGCAGTTGTGCTGGGCACAACGCCCTGTGTTTCAAGATCCTCCCCCATTCCTACTGCTGGTGGCTTTTCTTTTCCTAAGGGGCTGGAACTGGCCTGGGTGCCAGAGCCCATCAAAATACACTTATCAGGTGTACTTATCAACAGTCATCTCTAACTATCAACTTGCTACAACCCAGAGCCACCTGGAGAGAGAGAACCTCAACTCAGGAATTTTCTAGCTCAGACTGGCCTGTGTGCATGTCTCTGGGGGCAGTTTTTGGATTATTGATTGACATGGGAAGACCAAGGTCACTGTTGGGCAGCATCACCCCTGGGCCGGTGGTCCTGGGTTGGGTACCGTGGCTGAATATGAGGCTGGGAGCAAACAAGTAAGCAGCATCCCTCTATGGTTCCTGATTGATGCTCCTGCCTTGAACCGCTGCCCTGACTTCCCTCAATAACGGACTGTAACCTATAAGGGGAAGTAAACCCTTTCCTCCCCCAAGTTTCTTTGGTCAGTATTTTACCATAGCAACAGACAGTAAGCTGGAATAATTCCCATTTTAGAGTTGGTGAAACAGGGTGCTTAGCAGTCAGGAAAACAGTCAGTGAGAGAGCCAGGATGCACACTGCCTCAAAATGTGTGCTCTCGTTCTCAGCCCGGGACAGTTGGTGCTCACCATACAGCCTCACTGTTAGGTGCCTTGGGCTGTGGTTGAATCGCTGTTTACTTTCCCACATGTCTCTAGTGCTTCTCCCTGCAGCCCGTGTGCTCCTGGGCACTGTGTGATGGGGTAATACTGTGGGCCTTTAAGAGCAGAAGCCACAGCACGGATGGTGACTCAAGGCCACAGTATGAGACAACCATGTCACTGACTGGTCCTCCCTGTCTGCAGGTGTCTTTCACCTTGTAATGGAGACCGCTCTATCTCTGACTGACTGTTCCACTGTCCCTGAGCTTCTCCAGCCCCATCTGCAGAGACAGGAGGCAGGAGACATGGGCAACTCAGAGGCTGTTCAATGATGAGACATCGGATGTCACAGCACAACAGCTGGGATCCAGCTCTGACTGAAATGGAGCTGTCCTGTCCCCAGGCGTAACTGGAAGGTCACATTCTAGGCAGTGCCTGGGTTCAGAATAGTGGGATAGAGCTTAACGTGGTACTGATCCTGGCCACACAGGCTCTGAGGGGCCAGCCTGCACCATCAGTGCAGACAGATGTTGGGGTAATGCGCACTTCCAGTTGGGAGTCCTAGAGAAAGGAATGGCAGCCTTCTGAAGTTACTAGGCTCCCTTTCTGGACCACCATAGGATGCTCCTCCAGGGCCCAGGTAGCTGCAGATGCTCTGCCGGCCAAGCAGAGGACTAGAGCTTTCTGGAGAAGCCACGCCCCAGCTGTCATTGAAGAGAACGATGTCTGCTCCAGGACTCACAGGGTTTCCTATGTCCTCCAAAACATAATGACATCACAGGAGGGTGTACCCAGAGGAGCAGCTACCACCTGCCCTAGACCGGCAGTAATGGAGAATGACATTGTAACAGCATACTGACATATGTAACATAGTGAGTTACATTTCTGTAACACTTACTCTGCACCCTAATCAAGACCATCTGGGCCCAACTCTGAGCTTTCCGCCTCCTCAAGACCTCCTAAGCCCCCTTTCACCCTCTATTTTAGCTGTCTCTGAGAACTGTACCTGGATAGATGACAATGGGCTTTCATATAAGAAGTCCAAAGAACTTAATTCTGCTAAGGTGGGCCTCCCCATCAAGTCCTGCTTGGCCCCTTGACCTTCTCCCTTTCTTCCAGGCATGTTTGGGGAGACCAATACCTGCCTCTGGAAGGTCTGGGACTTGTACTGTGGTCTGGACGCACAGGGAAGCACCAAGATAGGCCCTGAGAATACCACCGAGGAGAAGAGAAAGGCAACCTGCGAGCAGATGGGGTCCAGTGACACGTCAGTCAGCTTAGAGACTCTGGCCAGGAGAATGGCATCTAGAAAGAGCGAGGAACACCAGGAGATGAGAGACTGGAGTGACAGACCAGAGAGCGCCTTCTGGAGGAGAGCTGTGGATGCCAGCGGGGTCCTGTTGTTTGTGCTTCTGATTTTTGTTCACGTCTACTTTGCTTGATGACTTCGGAGTTGCTGCCTTTCCCGGACAGCATATCACGAAGGGATAACGTGTCTCCTTTAGAGACCCGATAGTATGGGGCCAAGGCCCACGCCAGTGAAAACAAGCTCTTGGTGTAGTCACCAAGCGTTAACAGCTGCGGGGCATGCATGGACAAGAGACCGAGGCAAACAAACTATGCCACTGAAAGCATCTGCCCCTCTCGGAGGCGAGTCGTTCTTCTCCAAACGACTGCATTGCATAAGCACTGGATTTCCTTTAAATTTAATGTTTGCTTTTTATCTCTGATGGTTTTGAATTTTAACACACACACACACACACACACACACACACACACACACACTTTGCTTATGTCAAAATGTCGGCACCTGTTTCTTGTCCCCACTCCGTATTGCTTTGCTCTCTACTTATCCTAAAGACACAACCCCGCTGAACTGGCAGCAGTGGCGCAAGTCCAGCCCCACCCTTGCCGCGGGCTTTTGCCCGCAGGGGTTTTGGGTCAGTACTGATGATCACTCGGGCCAGGGAGCAACAGCTGTTTCTTCAGCGGGTCAAGGGCTGCTCTGAGAGACCTGGTCTCATACCATTTACCATCAGTCAGCTTCCACGTCACTGATTCCAAAGGCCAGAGTGAGGGCACACCCTTCCCTAGGAGCTCTTTCTAGTCATGCCCCAAGCCAGACAGTAGAAGAGGGGCCTATGGGTGAGATTATTTTTAGCCAGCACAGCCAAACACTCCTGGGCTATGTCGCTACAGGAATTTCCTAAACCTCCCTTTCCTCTTGGACCATAATAAAGGATCTGTGTCTCTAGCAAAACTTGCAGGTGTCTTGAAGTGACCTGGGGGAGCCCCACTCACACTCAAAACAGCGAAAACAACACTCTCAAGATATACTTACATACCTCATCCCTCACTCCTTCCTTAATTCTTCAGCTGCCAGTTCTGAGTGCTAGCTGTGTCCCCCGATATGTTGTGCCCTGTTAGAAATGGGTATCGGGGTCCAATAAAATGACCACACAATCTGAAGTATTTCCACAAGGCAGAAGTTTTACTTTTGTAGAATGCTGCACAGATATACTTCAGCAGGAAGGCCACTGAGCAGGGGGTCCTGCCACACTCTGAGTGGTCGGAACCTGGCCTCACATTTTAAAAAATCCATTTATTATGTACAAAGTGTTCTGCTTGCACGTTTGCCTGCAGGCAGGAGAGGGTGCCAGATCTCACTACAGATAGTGGTGAGCCCCCCACCCCCCAAGTGTTTGCTGGAATTGAACTCAGGACCTCTGGAAAAGGAGCCAATGCTCTTAACCTCTGAGTCACCTCTCCAGGCCTCACACTCTTATATGATTGACAGATTCAAAACAGCAGAGCTGATGAGCAAAGAGACTTTTGAGAGCACGATTCACCCTTGTTCTACATTTTCATTCTGTCTGTTGTTGTGTCTTCTGCGATTCACCCTTGAGCTCATGCTTTGACTTAAAAAAAATGGAGACTCGGGGAAGGATTTTTGCTGGTGTCTTTACAAACTTCTTTAGAGAGATCTTTCTTTGCCTACATTTAATCCTTTGCTAGAAAAGATAATACATTTCATTAACATTTCCTAGAATGCCCCCTTTATAACACAATTCAATTATTTTTAAAATTTATTTTGTATTATAAGAAACATCTCTTTAGGGCTGGAGAGATGGCTCAACAGTTAAGAGCACTGGCTGCTCTTCCAGAGGACCTGGGTTCAATTCCCAGCACCTACATGGTGCTAACAACTGCCTGTAACTCCAAGATCTGACACCCTCACAGACATTCATGCAGGCAAAAACACCGATATACATAAAATAAAAATCAAGACATTTTAGAAAAAGATTGGCAAAGAATCTGAAAAAAGCCTCTTCATTAATTAACTCCTTGAGGATGTTATGATCTATTTTGAGCATATATTCACCCAACTCCACTAACTTTCTAACTCCTTCCAGATTTACTACAGCCTCCTTACCCACCTAACTTTGTATTCTCATTTTAGTTTTTAAAACCATCAAATCTAATTTGCACTGTGTGTATAGTCTTGGATGTGGGTGGTCAACTCACCAGGAGATATGACTGTAAGCATTGGAGCTCAGATGGAAAGCAATTCTGGTAGGCAAGCGTCAAGGAATACCACAGAGTCACTGCAAGCGTAATAGTTTACAGCCCTGTTTCAGGGAAAGGTTGCTCAGTGTAACAACTCTGTTCCAGCAGGAAAGGTTTCCCCAGTGGCGTTGTTACAATCCTGCTCAGCTCTTCTCTGCTTTGGCTCCAGCAATAAGTTGTAACTTCTCTGCTTAGCTCCTTTCTGGAGAAAGAAAGTCTCACCCAAACCTCGTTCAGGAGATTTATTGGGAGGGAATCCAGGAGAGTGGCTGTCTCTGCCAGGGTGGAAAAGGGTAGCTCCCAACTGAACATGTATGAGGCTTATATAGGGCTTCTTAGGGGCAGAGTTTTTCCAGGGTAAAGGTTTTCAGGGTGGGAATTGGTCAGATTTCAATCCCTGAATTTGAACAAGCTCAGAGACTGACTAGATCTCGTACTCAGAAATTGGTTGGTTTTCCTGTTCAGGAATTGGTTGAGTTTTTGTGCTGAGTTGGTCAGGGGCAGAGTGTGTTTCTTTGGCTCTGGTTTCAGGGACAAAGTGTGTTTCTTTCACTGTCTCTGGTTTTTGGGGCAAAGTATGTTTCTTGGCTCTGATTTCAGGGTCAGGGTGTATTTCTTTGACTTTGGTTTCAGAGTCAGGGTGTGTTTCTTTGGCTGGTCCTTTTACCCTACAATAACCTTAAAGAAAATTGACTCTTCTTCTCCCAGAAGTCATTAGTTGCCAATAGCTCCTCAGTGGGGGTGAGACTCTGTGCCCATTTCCTCCCTCCATGCCAGGATTTTATATAGCTTGAGGTTGTCTTGTACATGCGGTCACAACTTCCATAGTGTTTTGTGGTAGTTATCTACTGTCTCTGGCTTTTAGAATTTTTCCAACCTTCTTCTACAATGATCGCTGAGCCTTGGAAGGAGAGGTATGTTGTAGATGTTCAACTTAGGGCAAGACATTCTGTAGGGTCTTATTCTCTGCACCTTGACCAATTGACCTCTGTGTTAATCACCATCTATTGCAAAAGAAGCTTCTTTAATGAGGGTTGAGAGATTCAATCTACAAGTGTTTACTCGTCTAGAAGCATTGGGATCTGAGAGAATGGAGCCTAAGAATGAGGGGGACTAAAGTTTCATGTCATAGCCAACTTTATTCAGAGCACCAGACAATTTATCCCCTGAGGGGTAAGAGGAGTCACTTGAGTAACCTGTACAATCACAAGGAGAAGCCACATGTGGCAAAAAACATTCACCTTATAAGGTGGGACTTAAATTCAATCAGAGAATGACTGGTTACACCCATGATGTTTGTGCCACTATTGCACCAATGAACATATCCTGTCAGACCAGTCAGCATTGTTAGCTCTCAGGGTTCACAGACAGATAGGACTGCTGATATGCCTTTTTCCTCTTCTAGCTTGCATAGCACCTTAGGGTGCCATGAGAGATAGCCAAGTGTGTGGTATCTTTAGCAATAGGGTCTTACTGTCAAGTTCTGGAAAATAAGCAAAAGCATTGACAACAGCCTGTCATGCTGAGGGTCTGTAGGGCCTCACTTGGCAATGACTCCAAAAGAGGTATCCCATCCCTGGCCATGGTGTCTAGTGTGAGTATTGTTACCCCAATTTAGGATAACTCCATTTAAATCCACACACACACACACACAAACATACACACACGTGTTTAAATATATATACATATATATAAAATACACACATATACATATGTATATTATTTACATATATATATCTTCCTAAAGTATACATATTTTAAGAAGCCTCTATGGAAATACGTGTAGCACAAATAATAAAAACCCAGAGACAAATACTGGGGTTCAAGCTGGAGATCAGAACAGCAAATCAGCTAGCCACGGACTCTTACCTCTACCTCAGAGTGAAATGGGCGATCCTGCTTCCATAAATTCTCACACTGAGACTTGGTAGAGCATGAGACTCTTAATCTCAGGGTTGTGGTTTCGAGCCCCATGTTGGATGCCAGATGCAGCATGAATAAAAACTCTCAGAGACAGATACTGGGGTTCAAGCTGAAGATCAGAAGAGCACGGCAGCCACGTCATTAGAGAGCTCTTACCTATATGAAATCGTCAGGCTGAAAAAATGAGCGAGTTCCTGTCTCATTTGCCTTATAGTCCTTCTAGTGCTGGGATTAAAGGCTTGCACTGCTGAGAGCCCTGTTCTTAATGGGTAGATGACCTGGGATGGTGTGTGAAGTAGTGAAACGAAGAAAAGTCTGATCCCCTGTTCCAAACAAGTGGCCCCCGATAGCCTGAGCCGTTTCTGTTTATACAGTTTCAATAGTTTGCGTGAACAGTTTTACAATCATATCTGTTTCCTTAAGTTTTCAATAATAATTACAGTAATTGCCAGTTTGTTCTCTTATCTCCTTCCCTTTCCATCCCTTAACTTCCCCACCGGTAACCATTACCTGCTTGATTCGTAGCCTTGACATTAGAAGCATAAGCAGCATAGCAAGCAACAAAGGACGTTTTCTGACCAGGCACAGCTACAGGTGGGACAGTGTGCCCAGTTGGCAGCATTTGCAGTTACAGCATCATGCAAAGTAAAAGAAAGATTTGCCTCTAACAGTTAATGTTTACTTCTGGTCAAATCTAAACTCTCACAATCAAGTCATCAGCCAAGGCTGAATCAATCCATTCTTCATTCTATATTACTCTCTCTCCTATAGGGATATACCAGATTTTCTCCTGTCAGCCTGTAAACTACATAACTTAAAAGCTTACTCTTAACAGTTGGCGTTGCTTATCTTATGTTCTCACGTCCCTTCCTCTCAGCTTCCTATGGTACTGACACAGCTATAGAGATGAGGGTATTGTGAGTTTCTACGATTCTGCTTCATTCCCTGTTCCTAGACTGTTCTCACTGACTCTGGATATCATCTACTTATTAACATTTCTGGTTAACATTCGTGGTTAAAACCATTCTCTAGTTTGTCATAGCCAGAACCTGGAAACAACCTAAATGCCCCTTGATAGAAGAATGGATAAAAAAAAAAAGTGGTACATTCACACAATGAAGTACTACACATCAGGAAAAAATAACGACAGCTTGAATTTTGCAGAAAAATGGATGAAACTAGAAAACATTATTTTGAGTGAGGTAACCCAGACACAGATACACAATTATCACATGTACTTACTCATAGGTGGTTTTTAAACATAAAGCAAAGAAAGCCAGCCTACAAACCATAATCCCAGAGAATTTAGACAATACGGACTCTAAGAGAGACTTACATAGATCTAATCTACATGGGAAGTAGAAAGTAGAAAAAGACAAGATCTCCTGAGTAAATTGGGAGCACGGGGACCTTGATGGAGGTTTTGAAGTGGGGAGGGGAGATGCAGGGAGGAGAGCAGAGAAAAAATGTAGAGCTCAATAAATATCATGGAAAAAATATAAATAAATAAAAATAAAAAACCATTCTCTAGAGGACAATTATGCAAATTAGTAATATTTGTCATGAACTTCTGTGACTCTTTCAGGCCAGTCACAAGGTGCTTTGGAAAGGCAACGTCCTGTTCTTGAGAAGCCTGAATTCATGGTCACACCTGAAACATCAAAGACATTAATGGCTAAATCAGATCCACTGTATATTTTTAACAACATCCCCTCTGGCTCACCCAGAGGAGAAACAACAGAGAAAAGTTTTGCTAATAG